AAGGAACCTCAGGGAAAGAAGAAGATGCTCCAAGTTCATTTGGAGATTAGCTGTATACGAGACACCCGGATCATCTTGCAATGACCTAATCAGACAGCACTTACAGTGTGAGAGACACATGGGTTCACAAAACTATTTATCAGCCAATTCCTTTCATAATTATAGACTCAGACCAGACACTTGCTCTCCCTACCAAGCTGCCTTAAGGCATCACATGGTGCAAATCAATAGGGGACATTACCTCACATTTGGGAACGTTTCCAGATAGAGCCACTCCTCATTTGTTCAGTGTCATCTGGGAATAAGGGAAGCCATATAAATAAATGTTGACGTACCTGGAACTTACGTTTACACGCTGAAACATGTCTTACTGATTTCCTAAGATACTGAAACATGTGACTGCTCTCCAGCAGAGGACATGGTTATATCTGCACTGTTCTGGATTCAAATCATGTCACTGCAATATCCTCAGTGATGAAATGGGAATTGCTCCTGTACTCGTTACCCTGAGAGTCGCCTCCCCCTTAGTCTGACAGTAGCTATAAGAGCAGTTCTTCCTTTTTACCACCATATAATTTGCTGCTTGTCGTCACCAATAAACTAAGAAATCATGCTGCCGCTGATCATTTTTATGAGAAAATTGATCATGAATTCACAGCAGTATTTCCAACTCAAATATATAACTACAGAGCTTTAATTCTTTGGTTTTATATTTTTATCTCTTTCTCTTATATTGGAAATATTACTTAGTAATGACATAAATATACCTGTTTATTAGCATTATCTTACTACATATTACACGCACATACGTATATAATAGGTTGGTTAAAAATGACAGCACTGGATGTCAGCATCAGGGTGGTGAGAAGACCCCTTTGTATCTACCCTTAAGTCTACAACTGGTTTCACATCCGTAACCCAACAAAGTTCCTGTGCTCCACACACTCCAGGCCCGAGGTCCACACATCAGTCCATCTGAACTGGGAGGCAGGACAGGAGGTGGAAAAGGGACAGTACTCAGCTGAGCCCAGGACCCCGCTAACACAGAGTGGTGGGCTAGGGGTGCATCCCCCACACTGTGGCCCAGAGGAGCGACAGAAGCAACATCTGCACCTGAGAATCAAACTGCTCCCCTCAAAGGGTTTTTGGAGGCGCCCAGGAGCAGCAACAGAGGGGTCTCTACAGCCTTCAAGCTGTAGCCCCGGCACCAGTGACGACAGGGATCCAGGCAGTAGTGCAACAGGCTCTAGAACCTTCCCACTGGCCACAACCCACCACCACAATGGGAGTACTGCAATCCCCATAACCACAGCACAGCACCCCTCCCCCCCCCCCCCCACACACACACACACACACACACACACACGCTCTAGAGGTGAAAGTACTGCAGGTAAGAAAACACAAAAACTTGCACTACAGCACCATCTACTGGAAAACTGAACAGACTGAAAAACAGGGAAGGCTTCGTGGCTCTGTAAGAGAAGGAGGACAAGGAGCAAACCAGAGCCCCCAAGACTGGGGAAAGGAGCAGGTGAAAGGTTATGGCCCCCTGTGGTTCCCCAAGGGGAACCAGGGCCAGGGCAGGAAGCCCCGAACTGTAATTGTGGACAACTCCACCAACCCTGCCCTAACCGGTTTGGCTCAGTGGATAGAGCATTGGCCTGTGGACTGAAGGGTCCCAGGTTTGATTCCGGTCAAGGGCATGTACCTTGGTTGCGGGCACATACCCAGTAGGGGGCGTGCAGGAGGCAGCTGATCAATGTTTCTCTCTCATCAATGTTTCTAATTCTCTATCCTTCTCCCTTCCTCTCTGTAAAAAATCAATTAAAAACAACAACAACAAACTCCACGAACCCTTAACAAAATTAACTCAAAATGGAACCTAGACCTAAATGCAAAATTCACATCTATAAAACTCCCGGAAGGTAACACAGGAGAAAATCTAGATGACCTTGAGTGTGATGGTGCCCTTTTAGAAAGCAACCCCCACAGACAAGATGCATAGAAAAATAATTGAGAAGTTGGACTGCTTTAAAATTAAAAACTTCTCTGTGAAAGACAATATCAAGAGAATTACAAGAGAAGCCACAGACTGGGAGAAAAAATTTTCAAGACACATCTGATGAAAGACTATTGTCTAAATATACAAAGAACTCTTAAAACTCAACCATAAGCAGCCTGATTAAAAAATGGGCCAAAGACCTCAATGAATACCTCACCAAAGAAGATACACAGATGTCAAATAAACATATTCACATTTCCCTGATGACATATGAAGCTCCAGGTCATATGTCATCAGGGAAATGCAAATTCAAGGAACACTGAGATACCACTACACAACTATTAGACTAGCCAAAATCCAAAACACCGACAACACCAAATGCTGGCAAGGATGTGGAGCAATAGGAACCCTCATTCACTGCTGGTGGGAATGCAAAATGGTGCAGCCACTTTGGAAGACAGTTTGGCAGTTTCTTACAAAACTAAATATACTCTTACCCTATGATCCAGCAATCATGTTCCTTGGAATTTATCCAAAGAAGTTGAAAACTATGTCCACCCAAAAATCTGCACAGGGATGTTTATAGATGCTTTATGAATTGCAGTTATGAATAAATGTGGTACATCCACATGATAAATATTATTCAGCATTAAAAAAAATGAGCTATCAAGAGCTGTTTCTTTGAAAGGAAAAAGAAATGAGCTATCAAGCCATGGAAGACATAGAGTAAACTTAAATGTACATCACTAAGTGAAAAAAGCCAATCTGAGAAGGCTACATACTGTATGATTTTAACCATATGACATTCTGGAAAAGGCAAAACTATAGAGATAATAAAAAGATCAGGTTGCAGAGCACAAAGGATTTTTAGGGCAGTGAAAATACTCTGGTGATATCATAATGATAGATATAGGCTACTATACATTTGTCCAAACTCATAGGATGTACAATACCCGGATGTAAACCATGAACTTTGGGTGGTTATGATGTATCTCAAGGTAGGTTCCTCCTTGGCAAAAAAAAAAAAGTATCATTCTATTGAGTGATATTGACAATGGGGGAGGCTATGAAGGGAGAGAGGCAGCAGTTATATGGGAAATTTGTATACCTCCATCTCATTTTTATTGTAAACCTAAAGCTGCTCTAAAAAATATCTTTAAAAGTTAACTGCAAATGTGGGGAAGAGAGGAGACCTGTTTAACATAGTTCCATTTTAAAGAATGTTTTAAAGAATGTTTTTATTGATTTCAGAGAGAGGAAGGAAGAGGGAGATAGAAATAGAAACATCAATGATGAGAAAGAATCATCGATCGGCTGTGTCCTGCATGCCCGTCATTTTAGTGTTAGTAGAATCAGGTTGCTTCCCTTGAACACAGAGCTGAAGTGAACCTTACTGAGGAAATAAACATTCCGAGATAAGCCACACAATGTAGAAGGGGACTTTGAAACCTAGTCTGCTACCCACCATATCCGATATCCGGCAGGAGAGCTTTGAAACCTACTGGGGGGGGGGGGGGGTATAAAACCCCTTGCGCCCCTACCGGGAGGTGCGCTCAGACTTAGTTGAGCTGCCCACTTGTAAATTCACTTGCTTTGCTTCAACACTGCTTTCTGTCACTCATTTGAATTCCTTCTTTAGAGACTGACAAGAACCAAGGATGGGAGAATCCCCCTCTGACTCAGGGGTCTGTCTGGAAACACGTTGGCAATGACTAATTAATAAAGTTTAAAATATAAAGTCAAATAAATTATATTCTATCTCTTTTACTGTCCAAAACAGCCAGGTCTTCCAATAAAGGAAAACTCAATAAATTACATTTACAAAGAGCAGCTAAATCAACCAAGCAGCTCCCGGCTGCCACAGGAAGATCAGAGGAAGTTATTATTAGAAACTTGGGAAAGACATATTAGAAACCACAGCAAAGGCCTTGGATATTTAAAAACTCAAATAGTTTCCATGTGGGTTTAAAGTCAGAGCCAAATGTGTCCAAACATTGAATACACTGAATACACAGAGACAAATCAGATTCAAACTTCGTAAATAAGAGACGCATGGAAAAGGAACCCCTTAGAAAATGCATGTGAAGATACTGAGGAACTAAAGGGGCGGGGGGGGGGGATACAGAGGGCATTTTTGCTAGAGAATATTGCACAGGTCACTTTTTCTGCACTATAATATAAGGTCTGCATTTCAGACAAAAATTAAAGAACTGTGCTAGCAGATAGAGGTTATAGGAAAATGTTTTATTTCACCATAAATATTTATATTTCAAGACACACTCTAGACCCCATAATAAAAGATTTTTTAAAAGGCAGGCCCTAATAGAAAGCTGTGTTTAGCTCCCCCTTAAAACTCAAAAAGGACATTTCAAATAAGCAATTGTGGAAACATGCCCACGGGGCCACAGGACTTCTGTCAGAAGCCTCTGGGTGGCCTGTATCCCTCCTCACAGCTTCACCCCACTTCCATGTCACATGGCCCCGGCCCCGAAGCTCTCTTCCAGAACAGCGTCTCCCCGCAGGTCACAATGCCCACGTCTTCTGAGACACACTAGGCACACACAACGAGCACACTCACTGAAAAGTGCCCGTTGTAAAGCCCAGCACACAGTCTGTTCTCAGCAAAACCGTGTAGAATGAATGAACAAACTTGCTGCGGTAAATGGAGGTATCGGGCCCAGGGCCCTTTCCTTTCTTTTTTTTTTTTTTATTCTTTATTGTTGAAAGTATTATATATGTCCCCTTCCCTCCCACCATTGTCCTCTTCCAGCCTGCCCTCGTCCTCCAGCTTCTTTTAACAAATTCAAAACTCTTCAGATACAAATAGTTTGGAATTCAAATTAGGTCCTCTAGCACAGTACAATTTCATCCAAACCCTAGAATATCTCTATTAGCACATCTTTGAAAATTACCTCGTGAAATCATTCAAAATAGAAATCATTCAAATACAGAAATTCTACTATGTTCTCAACATTATTCCTTCATCTGATACCAATGCTATAATCACAGCCTCCTAGCAAGTTCCCGAAACCTTCACGTGATGTTAGTGTACTTGGAGCACCTGCACACTGCTTCAAGTTATTTTTCCCTTTAGAGGTGATGAATTTTCCCTGGGTTATCCAAACACTTCTCCCCATCCTGGCTCCTGTTGGGATCCATAAGAGAACTTCTGAATTTATCTGGTCCTTAATTAAGGTTGTAGTCATGGTCACGATTGTACTTTTCCTCTAACCAATATAACCGACCTGTACAGAGTGTCTAATACTTTACTAAATGGACAAATAGATCGCCAAGCCTCAGTCGCTCCTGTAGTAACAGTATATCATTGGATAAAAGATTCTCTTTCCATATACGAGTCTCCTCCCTCTCCTATCTCAGCCACCCGTTCACGGTAATAAACTTCCATCAAAACCAAGGCTGCAAGGGAAAGATGAGCTAGACAGAGCACGTGACATTCTTTTTTTTTAGGCTAACAGCCTGGTTTCCATTATCTTCACACACATTTCTTTTAGGGCCGGGCTGTTTTTAAATGTTCTGTTATGAGGTTTGGAATGTGTCTTACGATATAAACATTTATGATAAAGGAAACATAGTCATACGGTTTTACAGTCAAGCCCCTCCCTGGACATGATACGCTTATTTATTGCCAGCAGAGCTCCCCGGGGTGAGGGAGAAGCAGGGGCCTGAGGTGGATCACTGACATGTTTAAGGGTAAATCTCCATTATATTTAATGTAATGCTCCCAGCATTGCTGCGCAGGGCACTTGATGGCCCAGGGCAGTTGGCTAATGATCTTCTGATCTTAACTTTTTCAAAGCCCTTCAAGTCCCCAAATTACAACAGAGTCCCACATTAGCTGAGACGATGAAAAGTGTGAGTGACTGAATCACAACCAAACTCCGGGACAGCACCTGCTTCCTCACTGTCCCTCTTTAAGACACGCTAACCACTGCCTTCCACCGGCCACAGCCAAACCCTGTGCACCAAGCAGCGAGTCTGGACAACCGTGTCCTGCTCTGCCTCAGAGCCTCGGCTCCCAGCAGAGCTTGCTAACTATTAAGCTATCCTATAGCTCGTCAGGGGCCAAGTCCAGGTTGCAAGCCAGGCAAAGCCAGTCTCCTGGGAAGAGCTGTGGACAACAGAGAGCAAACTGGCTCGAGGCCAAGAAAAAAGAACAGAAAACAAGGGCTTCTACAGGCAGAGCGGTTACATTCATGTATCATTTTTGCAGTTCTTAGCCTGTGCTCTCAAAATTGTGTAAAAAAAAAGGGGGGGGGCATATTTTAACTCATGCAAGCCACAATTCTCTTTATTAGTTCCTTTAGAACCCCAGCTCCACACATTCAGAAACTGCAACATGGTAATGAAATGCAAGGTGTGTGAAGCACATACTTTAAAATCCCAAACACATTTTAAGAGATCCCAGAGGCCAGTGACACACTGCACCACGTGTGTTCGGGGAAAAAAATCCCCAGCATGGAGTATGTCAATTAAGTCCATTATTGAGCTCCCCTAAGCCACAGCCAAACACAAGTCGCAATGTGCTGGGAAGCATCAGTGTCTCCTCTTACTGAAAAGATGCAGATACAATCCAGCTGTAGAACTGAAACTCCAAACATGTAGTTACCCTTGGAGAATGGAAAGAACTAGGAGTCCCCGATACCTGGTAGAAATCTCAGTTATTACCTGAATTTCTTATCTCATTCTTTCCTCTCACTCACAATTTTTTGTCCGTCACCATTAAACCCTCTGCTAGAAAACAATTGTTATGTTTGACTGGTTTATGTGGTCCCAAGTTTATGCTACAAACTTTTCAGATGTTTTCTCTTAGAGAAGAATGTTCCTTTTTGGACCATCTCTTTGTCTAACATCTGAGTTCAAGACAATCTTATTTATTTATTTATTTATTTATTTATTTTTTTAATTTTAAAAGAGCTTGAGTAAGAGGCTAATGATGAAGGCAACTGGGTGAGAATATATGAGAATTCAAATGCACCACCTTTGTTCTGTGAGTCTAAAATTATTCCAAAATAAAAAGTGCGTTAAAGAGATCGGCCTTCTCGGCCAAGCAGACATGGGATCGAAGGCTGTGACGAGAAGCAGATTGCTTTCATTTTCTTTAACTGCGTTTATCTTATATTGACATTGAGAAATATCCGTTTCCAGAAGAACTGTGAAACATTATCATATTTTCTTCGTTGTGGAGCAATTTGTAATAATAGGTTATTACAAGCATGCATTACCTAATAATTTTTAAAGTCCAATGAAGTATCAATAGATAATAATATAAAGTCCACACTATAGTAAGTACAGTTAATTGCCTTAACTAACCTCTCCAGGCCTTCAAGCATAGCCAGAGCGACAAGTAGTGACAAGGAATTAGACTGACCAGGAAATCCTCGTGTCCCAGTAAAGAATGCTAGGCTTAATATTTCCATTTTAAACCACTCATCATTCCATCTGACAGACAGTTTCCCAACCTGCAAGCAGGAGAAGCTGGTAGCAAGCAGCTGCCTTTTCTCCTAGTGTTTGGCTGGCACCACACTGGTTCTCCGGACCCTGGTGCTAGCTCTCTACGTTCCCCCCCTGTCATACTGGAGTTGGGTTCCACTATCACCAAGGTCCCTGTAGGCAGTAACATCCTATGGCAGGCAGTGCCTGTGTTCCTGGGCTCTCTCTGTCATAATCTCCATTATGGCCATGGCAGGTCATCTCAGTGATGGAAGAAAAGCAATGAAGTGAGTTAGGCCACTAGATGGAACAACATTTTCTTAATGTTGAGAAATAAGCAGTTTTGTTCACTATCTTATTTTTAGCTTCTATTTGGGAAGATGATATCCTATTCAGTGCCTATTCATTCTTCAAATCTTAGCCAAAGCATCTCTATTTGAAGGAAGTTTTCTTCATCTTCCATAACTAGGTTAAATCCCACTTATGTACATTCTCGTGGTCTAGTACCTCTCCTATGTAGCCTTTATCAATCATAGTAACAATTTTACATTTATTTGCATTCCATTGATGTTTCTCTCTCTCTAAACTCTAAGCTCCATGAGAGCAAATATTATGACTGTTTTTTAACTATCTTAATTCCCAGTTATAATTAAATTTAAAATATTAAAATCGTTACCCCTTTCCATATTAAGAAAAATGTTATAATTTTTCTCTCAAAGAAATAAACAAACCAAAAAGCATATCTAAGAATGGAGTGATAAATATGTACAATATCTTTTTTAAAAATATGTGGGGTTTTTATTAATTTCAGAGTGAGGAAGAGAGAGGGAGAGAGAGAATTATAGATCGGCTGCCTCCTGCACGCCCCCTACAGGGCATCAAGCCCACAACCTGGGCATGTGTCCTGATCAGGAATCGTACCCATGACCTCTGGTTCATGGGTTGACGCTCAACCGTTGAGCTACACTGGCCGGCTATATACAATATCTTAATGGAGTTTGTGTAAAGAAGCCCCAAGAGGGATTCCAAACTTGGGTTGAGGTTACAGTTCCACCACTAACTAGCAGTATCCATGGATCAGTAGTAGAAAGTATAAGGCTTTAGAGTCAGATAGAACTGGTTTTAGCTGACAAGTTAGTTGGGTGACTTTGAACAAATCACTCAATCTCTTTGAGCCTCAGATTTCCTCTCAGTAAAATAGGGTAAGTGAAAATGGATTAGTTATAGTTGCAGCAGGAAAGAAAAGAAACACCCAAATGGGGTAAATAAGGAGAATTTAATGGAGGGACTATTAACAAAGGTGTGGCAAGGTAGGGACACACATTAGCACTGGCTGAGCATCCCAGTGCTGCCGAAGCAGGGAGCCTTAACTGCCTCTGCCCTCCTCCCTCCCTGATGCCAGAAGGAGAGAAGGGGGTCCCGACACCAGAGAATTATGGGCACTGATGCAGCTACAGCAAAGGGCCTTCAATAGAGGAACACAGCACAGTCAATGTGCTGCCTGGACAGGAAGCATCAAGGAGGGGGATAAAGAGCACTCCCTCTCTCCCCTCATTCTCTGATCCCCAGCCGGTGCCTCCCATTGGCAAAGGATTCTGGTTCGTGAGGTGCACGGAAGGTAGAGAGAGTGCAGAGTAGGCATTAGGGCGAACAGAGAAGATGTAGCACCCATCCTTGCCAATAGGTCACAGAATAGTAGAACTGATGAAATAAGATGAAACACATAAGGGTGCCCAGTACAATGCCTGTCCCACAGAAAACGCTCTGTATGTGTGAACTCCCGTTCCACCACAGCTTTGAACTCACACAAAAAAGTCAATGGTTCTTTCAAACTCTAATTTCTACAGCTATGCCCCAACTCCTCTTTCTTTTACAAAATAAAACCCTCATTTCGAGGAAGTTCTTCCTTATGGCTAAACAGAAATCTTCGTTTTGCTGTTTAGGAACATTTGAGAAAACCTCCAACGGAGCCCCCTAGACCTAACAGAGTTTTCCTTTAGAAACCAAGGGTGGGTAACGAGGAGGGCGGCAGGTGTGCAGACAGCTCAGCAAAGATGTCTCGGCTGGAGGGTCCAGCCTATAAAACAGCGTTTCCTGCTCCAGCCACGCCTGCCTCTCCCCTGGCAACGTGCTTTGACTCTAATGCACCAACAGAAGTTGAACAGCACAGTCACTGAGCCTAAATGACATCCTAATTGCATGGATGTGCATCTAGAAAAAACGTGATTGGATTCATTCTTTTCAAACAATTTGAGATAAAAAAAATTTAAAGAGAAAGTAATTCCAATGCTCTAGGGTAGGATAGAGGGCAGAAGTCAGAGAAACGGGATCAGTTTTATCCTGAGTTTTGATCAAAGAGGGTTTAGCCCAGTAAAAACCAGTGTTCCCCTCCTCTGTACATTTGTACTTAGTTGTTAATTGTTTTCAATGGTCTCCAGAGTCAGGACGCTTGCTCCGACAGTTTACTGTATCAACAAGCGCACTTCTGTGCAATTGCTGTTCTCTCGGGGGCATGCTCTCTTCAACACCCCGCCCCTGCCACTCCCCAAAATATCCACA